ATATATATATATATATATATATATATATATATATATATATATATAGAGAGAGAGAGAGAGAGAGCTAACAGAAGCAGCTATAATAAATGATAATATAGGTGAAATCTCAACCGTCAGATATTCATCATGTGGTTCAAAATGTATATCACTATATAAATTTTAATAATTTTTCTAAAAATCTGATTATAATGAAATTTTAAACATGTGTACTAAAAAATATGGCGCACAATTAAAAAGTATTTCCCAAAATATAAAATGGCCAAAAAACCCCTAAAAATTGACGGGGTAATTTGGTCATTTTAAATTATTAAAAATAATTTTTTTTATATTTTTATATGGTGCGCAATAGTATTAAGTATATACATCCTAAATTTCATCTTAATCAGATTTATAGAAAAAAAATTAAAATTCATAAATTGATATGCACATTCTAAACCACTCCATGAATATCTGACGGCTGATATTCCACTTATATTACTATTCATTATAGCTGCCCAGCTATATATGTGGGTGCAAGAATTTCTGCAGTTACATATCTAGACATAATATATAAATATAGGCACCTCCGGTGATCCCACCAAAAGTTAAACTGGCATACTTAGGCCCAATGAGTTGAGTACGACATCATCGGCAGCGACTTGATTCCGAGCAACTCAAAAATACTTTTCAATTACTCAAATAACTAACCAATCAAGCTTCAAATCCTAGTGTATCCATACCAATTATTAGAGACAAAACATTCATATAATCAATGAGAGAGACCTCATGATCTACCATAACATAAAAGTTTTATATGATGAATTATATACAACTGTGATTCAGGCAATAGCCTTGATATACCCATAAAATATTTTGCATACCTTCCCTTTTATGCTGCCATGGAGAGCCTATATTCTCTCCATTCAAGGTTTTGACGTTGGCAGGTCAAATGCATAATTAACTGCAAACAGAAATTAACACTTGAAATATGAGGCAAGAATCTGAGTCAAATTCAGTCAAAACCTAAGTAAGACAGGCCTAACATACAACTAAGATGGGCACGACGTTACGAACCATGATTTAGAAGTCTCTGCGAATGGTAAAATGGCAGTCCCGTAAATGAAAATTCTTATTTCTTCTTTGACATTTTTGGGTTTTTGCACATTCGTATGCTTAAAGGAGTGACCTCCACAAGTTCATCTTCTTGAATGTACTCTATACAGTCATCAAGGCTATAACTCAAGGGGGAATCAAGGACCACTGCAAGAAAATTCCCAATTATCAATATTGCCATCATCATCACCATTTCCACCACCATTACTATGGTTGATAATAAATACTTAATGCTATTACTATTATTGACTTGTTCTCACTATTATTGTTTGTATTTGTAGGGGAAGTTCAAAGACAACCTAAAGGTTGCCAAAACAAGTAACTTGAGCTATGTTCCAGAGTACAATTCTGTACAATTCTGTTGCTCTTACATTATTTTCAGTGTCATTGTTTGAGTTCTTTCCTCTTGCATGTGAGAAAAAAAATAATGAAAACCTGGATGGACATGAGTTTCCCAAGAAAATATCAAGAATTACTTCAATGAAAAGTTGAAAACCAGATCAGGTTGTCTAGTACTGGCCAGCTCAATGGTTCAGACAGGGATTCCAGCCCCTTCCAAAATATAAAGTTTAACTTTTTTAATATATTCATCGTTTATAAGAAATGATTCTCACAATATTTTAAGTTAAAAGTTAAGATTTTTCAGGGAAAGTGTACTCCAACCCAATTAATTATTGGAAAAGCACAGTTCGTTGGGTCATCATCATCATCCAATGGAGTGATAGATGGTAATGGTGAGAAAGATTGGGTCCCACCATGGGGACCATTTCCTGTTCTGGTGGATCTTACTGTATCCCCATTATTTCAATGGATAGTGATGGCCCAATGTCCAAAGGTTTGGCAATGGTCCATCAGATTATAGTAAAACTTCACTTTCTGTATAAGAGAACGATTTGTTCACATGAGAAAGAAAAAACTGAACGTTCGAGAAAGGGTTGGCAAACTGGGCACTAGTGCCAGCAGAACAAATAAGGTTCAGTTGGACCCAAACTGGTTTAAAGAACTCAATTCAATCTGATCTAGATATCACATTAAAGAAGAAAGAATCAATTTTAGGACCTAATTATGCAATAGATCAAGGAAAAACAATTATTATGAGCTAGTTTGAGGAATGACGATCACAATAGTTGATCACCTGTCTGCTCCTTATTTGAACGTACATTCGTGGCAGCCTTCTTCTTGCACACATTGAGAGACAAATCGCCAGGACGCTGATGGATACCAACAATTTGTCCTTTGTACACATCTAAGCCAGGACTCACAAACATCTGACCCCTCTCTTGTGAACTGGATAGAGCATAGGAAGTTGTGGTTCCATCCTCAAAGGCTACCTGCGAATCAGATTGACATAATTGGTCTCAAGTGATGAAACCACGAAACTCAATCCAACGTATTAAATATAATATAGTCCACTGGATTATGTAGAACTACAATACATTGGTTTCATTACCACCCTGAGGCAGGGGAATCCCAGTCTCTCCATCTTTGATCATCATTCCCTTCGATGGTGATGAGACCAAATGGACTTTAAATTGCATCACCCTTTGGTTTCCTATAAAAGAAACCCAAAAAACTAAAAGGGTAGAGTCTTTACCAGGGATCCTTGATCCCTCGTGCTCATATCTCCAGCCCAAGGTCCATAGCTATCAAATACTGTGTTGAGAATAGCAGTGCCACGGGAAGCAGTTAATATTGCATTCCTCAGACCAAGAAGGCCACGAGTCGGGATCTTATACTTGAGCAAATTTGTGCCCTCGGATCTACAGTGACCAAATCAGTAGTAGTTAGGATTAGCAGAACCAAGGAAAGCCCATGATGATCGGGTACGCAGCTAAATTATAAATGTTTGTGCATGTGCATATGTTTTGTAGACAGAGAGACATCAAATTCAAATATAGAGGAAACATATGAGTGAATTTCAACCAATGTTAAAAAACAAGGATCCGTGACCTGGATAGGCAATGAATTGACCTCTAGCCTTAAAAACTTTTCAAAAAATAACTAAAATTTCTTTAAAAATCTAGGGCCAGTTTGGATATCAAAGAAAAAAAATATTCACAGCGAAAAAAATGCAAGTTTTTTCTACTTCAATTGGAAAACATTATGGTCTTATTTTATTATGTTGGTAAACTGTTTGGATGTCTAATTTCATTGATTTGTCAAAAAAAAACTACCGCATCTCCAACTGAGGATTTTCCAAGACAAGAGACGGGTCCGGAGTTCTTTCTTGGGAGGAAAGGAGGCAGCAAAATCCATTTGCAGTCAATGAAACAAAAACCCATGCCATTCGGTGGGTTTCGATTAGTTCTTATCAGCTTCTCTCTGCACAGGTCTTCTCTTGGTTGTTTTATCAGCTTCTATCTGCATTATTTGCCTAGTCAACAGAGGATATTTATCAGCCCCTCTCTAGCAGTTCCTCTCAGCTTTGCAAAACTGAGTTTCTCTCTCTAGTCTCTCTGCTGCTGGTTGTTCTCAATTCTTCTCTATCTCTCTCTCTCTTCCATTAGCATCAAGAAATTGAGTCTCTCTCTACACTTTCTATTTTGTATAACGCTGTTGTTTTTATTTTTAATCTCTCAAGTCTCAACTTCAAGGAACAATTTGTTTTTTTAAATATGTTCAGCCCCCTTTTTGTTTTGCTTCTGTTTACTTTCTTTCTCTAAACTTCCCTGTTTCTTTTTCAAAGTTTTTTTCTTTTTTCTTTCTGAATGGTATTTTTCTTCTATGCATTTTGTTTCCTCTCTCTCTTCCTGTATTCACTCAATATTGGGGAACTTTCTCTCTCTACAATCTCTGTAAATCCCCTCTCTGTCTACAATCTCTGTAAATCCCCTTTGTCTTGCTGTATTGCTCATCAAACCTTTTGGAACCAAGTATGTGTCCCTAAACACTTCGCCAGCCCTTCTTCCCTTTATTCCCTGCATTTTTCTCTCTCCATTTTTGCTTCTCTAACAATGGACAACTAATTTTATCTCGCTAGGCTCTGTATTAAACATCCATTCTTCCAACCTTGGATGAATATACTTCTTTCTGTAAACGTTTCTGGACTTTCTCTCTCTAAAACTCTCTAGAAATCTACTTTGGCCATGTTGCTTCTGTAAAATTTTCAAATCCCCCTCTCTGCCCTGAAGTCTCTGTTCCTACTTCCTCTTCCTCTTCCTCTTTCATCTACTCTCTGCTAAAGATCAGTGGGTTCTCTCCTCCTCTCATTCTCTCTCTGCACCACGGTTCACAATTCTATTGTTTCTTTACTGTTTCTTTACTCTAGAGAGCTTAGGGTTACAAGGAGAGGGAGGAGAGAGAAAGGGTTGGCATAGGAGAGAAAAGGCTCGCATTTTGAACGGGTGAGAGAACGCCGCACTCTCATCTTTCATCAGAAAAAATTCAAATCCGACTTGAATTTTTTTTATCGTAACTTTTTTTTTCAATCTAAAAAGATTATAATTTTGGATGGTTGTCCAAACGGATCAAATCTAATTCACAATATTTTTGGATTGCAATCCAAAAATATTGCAATTTTGGGTACATCCAAACTGGCCCCTAGTCTCTTATGTTTCCAGAGAAATTGGGGTTACAGCAATTTAGATTTTCATTATTTTATTATAAATATATATTGACAACGCATTTCATCCCTTAGTGTTTGATGACCGTTATATCCATTTCACACTCAAAATGAAACTCATAGCAATGAAATGGATCTCTATAACTCAAATTATTTTCTTTGGTATTTTTATAATCTCCACTACCACCTGCACTTTTAAATACAGGGGATCTTGCCTGCACATTCATTCTTTTTCCCTTTTCTTGAAAATTAATTTATTGAATTACTTATTTACTTCCATTCGTGTAATGAAGTTGCATAAAGATGAAAGCAATTTTTTCTGATTTTTGGCCGTCTTTTTTTGGTGGAACTCCCTCATTCGCCACATTCCTCCATTAGTTTTTTTTTAAAATTTCTTTTGCTTCATTTTAACTTAAATTGTTTCTTGCCGTAGAGTAGCCGGTTAAAATGAAGCATTAAAATTAGTCTTTTCTTGATTTTTTAACCAGCTCATAAACACCTACCTCTTAACTTTATTTTTTTCTTTTATTTTGATTTAATTTCCCTCGAAACAATTCAATCCAAACAATAAATATGTAATTTAAACAGAAAATCATTTCAAAAGAACACAAAAAGGAGATATTGAAAATACACATGAAGTTTGATTTCACAAGTGCTTTTGGTGAAAGAAGTTTATTTGGTCCACGGAGTATAGGAAATGAGACATTCAAAAAAGTATGGAAACGAAAAGCTAGTTATGGCAAATTCCAGTTAAGACGAGTATCATGTCTGATGGCAGGGTGAAATCCTCCCTTTGCTCATGGGTGCGATGGGAGAGAAGTGTTACTTATTTCAGCATTATTAAGATGCTGGAAACGATTAACTCCATTCATACTTTGATATTCCAACTCCAAGGAAATGGATTATGCATTATCATAAGAGATGGTGAAATGAAATTTTAAAAGGGAGTATATGACCTGATGCAATCCTATCATTGTTATTAGTAATAACAATAAAAGAGGCCCTTCCTTTTATTAGTCCCACATCGCAGACAATAGGAAGTGTGGAGGGCACAAGCTCATGAAAAGGGCATGTACGGAAACGATGATTATGTGGCTTCCCACTAAGAGGGAGGGGGTGGGCCCTTTGCCACCCCTTTCTAAATGAAAAAATATCAAATTAAAAAATAAAAATAATGAAATAAATTTTTAAAATAATAAAAAATAAAGCTGGGTCCAGTCATCCAGCCAGTTCCTCGACAAAACCCACCAATTCCTGGCCGGTTCCCAATATACAGTGGGAAGTGGACAGGCTCCACCAATTCTTAATCTCGATTAGCTATTTTTAAAACCCTGATTTGAACCATAAAAACTACATTCAGCATGCAAATGACCAAAATTTTAGTAATGTAACAAACACACATACAAAAAGAGCAGAGGTGCAAAATTACTGACCCTGCTCCCTGCATATCAAACATTTGTCCACGTCTCTTCCCTAGGAGTTCGACTACAGGACCCATATATTCTTCCGGTACCTCTACAGTAGCAATCTGCACGGTATATGCAACAAAATTTGGAAAGAATCAGGAGAAGATCTGCTAAAATCAAATTGAAATATATCTTCTAATTGAAAGGAATCTTTCCATTCCTTCAACTTTAACCAAAGCTAAGTTGTTGCAACTTGAAAGTGCCATGAAAAGGAAACCAAATCCAAGTTACAGAAAATGTGGAGAGCAAGTACCTCAAAGGGCTCAAGCAACTTTTCATCCACTTTTTTGTTTATGACCTTTGGTGGCCCCACCATGAACTCATATCCTTCTCTACGCCTGAAAAATCAACAGCTTCATCACAGTTAACAGCTTAAAAAAAAAAAAAAAATCAACATCTTCATCAGAGCATGTACCGCAAAATCCTAAGTAACAGGATCCAATAAAAAGCAACTCACATGTTCTCAATTAGTATCGTGATGTGCAAAGTACCCCTTCCGCTGACAATGAATGTATCAGCTGTTTCACCATCTTCAACTCTCATTGCCAAATTCTTCTCAATTTCCCGGTAGAGACGGTCTCTAAGGTTTCTACTAGTTACATACTTTCCCTGATAAAGGCATAGAAATGAAAAACTTTAGCCCAGATCACAATCATAAGGAATAGCTTTGCTTAAAGAAGTCACATACGCACATGCATCTGATATGTATATGACAGCAACACAAATGCGACAAGACTAAGAGAAAATGGAAAGAGTTTTGTTGAACTATATAATGTCACAAAGACATGTATAATACCAAATATCAAGGTAAGGAAAGTTTTATTGAAGGATTTTGAGTAGTGAACAAGCATACCTCCCGACCAACAAAAGGGGAAATATTGATGGAGAATGCCATTTTCACTGTAGGTTCCTCCACCTTTATGGCAGGCAATGGCTTCCCAGTACTTTTATCAGCAATTGTCTCCCCAATCTGCAGGGAATTGAAAGTCATATTCTTTTGCTAGGTATGCTGTAATATTTAGATGCATTACTATTATAAGTATTTTCCTGACCTAATTTGGTGCATTAACTCATGATTTTTTATGAAGAACATGTAGGTAGGACGCTTACAAGTATGTCATTGATTCCACAAACAGCACAAATATCTCCAGCCTCTACAATCTCCACAGGAGCTCTTGAGAAGTTTTGATACACAAAAAGCTCGCTAACTTTACCATATCTACAAGTTTCATCAGTCGTGCATACCTACAATATCCGACAAAAAAAAAAACAAATGTAAACCAAAAGCATCTTGAATTCAATACAGTGACTGGTACAACAAAGTCATCAAAGAGATAATAAAAGAAAAATTAGCATTTTGTTAAATCTCATAATGTATGCATAAGTAGAACTGAACAACTTTTTGCAGCTATGTGGCTTGTATGTTTGGCATAGATACATCTTTACCTTCACTTCCATGCCTTTTTCCAAGACCCCTGAATGCAGACGACCAATTGCAACTCGCCCTTTATGCTCATCGTACTCAACATTTGTCACCTGTAGCTCATAAAGTTTATTCCATGGACATAGGCGGATACAAAACATAAACATAAGGTGCAATCTTCAGACAATATTGTTGGGAAACATGCAGTTATGATCATATGTACTCAAGTTAAGATTGTGCAAAGTACAAGTTCTTACAAAAGAAAATGTTCAAAAACAAAATAAAGAACATGGAAATATCAATAAATGATTGGGAAAAAAATATATATATATCCAGTTCTTGCTCCTGTCCAACATATGAATTGTCTGAAGGATTTCAAATATTTACTCTGGGATCATAATACAGAAGCAGAAAGAGGCGTAATGTAGATGATGTACACAAGCATAGAGCTAACAAATGGTATCCAGAGAATACATGGTAATAAATGAGGGATGAAGGTAGATGACAAGAGGATTCTTAGATGAAGACAAGAACCCCAGTAAAAGATAATCAAATGACAGTTACTTAGTGGTAAAGTCTGCCCTTTAAGGGCAAACATATTTACGAAAGGGGCTGGGGTCGTGGTGGTAGCATCCCCACACCCAGTTACCACATCGTTGTATCCACTCCTACCTCTGACACCCCCAATTAGCACCTTCAAAATGTAACTCCTCCCAATCTATTGAAAAAACGGGTATTCCCCACTGAATTACCCAAAAGAAAAAAGGACAAACATATTCATTAGATAACTCTTTATGTAAACCCTAGCAAGATGAGCTTCATGATTTGAATATAAAGTGAAACTCCAATAAAGATGATATGAGCAAAGCATTTCATTCATATGTACAAAATACAGATCCAATCAAAAATACAGATTCAATAGAGAGGATCCAAGAAGGGAACTTCACAATATTTCAAAGCATTGCTCAAAGAATATGGCAACGAGAGCAAGTTGCATGAATATCCCAAGGTTAGATCCTTAAAGGATTGAGACAGAAAAACTTTAATCAGAAAGTTAAATGAATGGGCTAGTGAAGAACAAGTGCATGAAACTATACTATCCAGCAAGAAGGTTGAATGTGGCAGAAAAATATGCAGGGAACTTGGATCTGAAAAGGCTGTGTACATAGAAAATGTTTGGGCTCACTAGCACAAGTAACAGCGTTCAAAGTGTTTTGATGTGATGCCCCAAATATTCCAAGCTCATGCTATATTTTATTCCTTTTCTTTCTGGTATTTTAGCCAATCCTCAGAAGAGCTTATCCTATTAGGTGCATCTCTCTCTTTGATATGCAAGTCTTTATAAGATGAAATAAGATAATAACAGTAACATACTTTTTATTTGGGCGAAAAAACAGTGACATACTTGTTATGACCAAAGGCTCTCATGTACCTGAATCACATGTCAAGAATCAAGATTGTAAATTTTTTTCGTGCTTTGATCGTTTAAAATTCTTCTTTATCATCTCTCTGATCTAGGCAAAAGGCATTTATGAAGGAAACGAAGAGTTCATTGGATTAGATTATCAGATGGAATATGGCACAGCCCTGAGAGAAATGGTTATTGGAAACTTCTCTAGGAGATTAAAGATATTTTACAATGAAGATCTATATAAGCAAAAATAACAATGCCTTACAAGCATTTGCAATGCACCATCTCTATCAATAACAGGCTCAGGGATGCATCTGATAATTGCTTCAAAAAGAGGTCCAAGATCATTTGCAAGATTGTCAGGAGCTAATCCAGCTTGACCCTTAAGAGCACTTGCATATATTACTTGAAAATCACACTGAATTGCCATAGACAAAAAAAAGAACAGTTAGAATAAAATTAGATATGGTAAAAAATTGGCTTAACTCTAGTATTCTGTCTTATTAAGAAACCTAGATTGACAGGATAATATGGTATGATAATGGGCACCTGCTCATCTGTTGCATTTAACTCAATAAACAATTCAAAAGTTGAATTGATAACATAATCAGGACGAGCAGAAGGCCTGTCAATCTTATTCACCACAACTATAACAGCATGTCCAAATTCTAGAGCTTTCTTTAAAACAAATCTTGTTTGGGGCATCGGCCCTTCTACAGAGTCCACCTACAAGAAAGAGAAACAATAGTGTCCATCAGGAAATGCCAACTGTCATAAAATGCATGGAGATCATGTGTAATGGAACTTACAGCAAAAGATACATGCATAACAGTCTGGAAGTGTTCAATCCTGGTTGTTTAAAAGATTATTTTAGATTAGATCCTCATCTCAGTAACTACCTTACTCCATTTTTGCACTTATGTAACATTCATGTTACAAAAACATATTTTGTACAATATATTTTCGTAACTTTGAAGCACATAAAGGAATTGACCATGGATTACCAAACATACCCATAGTTTCAACCATGCTATGAGGCTCTAAACCAGTCAACCCATATGAATGTCTTGTTTAAATATTAAACTGCATTTGACCCCCAATAAATTGAAGATTAGTCAGCAAATTAGCTTTACAACCCAATGTTCTTGATTGTCGATTTGGATATAAAAGGATCACTTTGAGGTGGTTTATCTAGCCAAATCAGGCACCATGAGGGAAAATAAAATTTAATATTTAATGAAAAATTGGACTATGCTCACAGTTACTGCAAATTGTTTACAGCTATGAGCACAAGCATGGGTCAAAAGAGAAATACCACCAAAAGAACGCCCTCAACCATGTTAAGAACGCGTTCCACTTCCCCACCAAAGTCTGAATGACCTGGAGTATCGATGATATTGATCTTTGTGTCCTTGTAAGTAATTGATGTGTTCTTGCTTAGTATGGTAATCCCTCTCTCTCGCTCTAGATCATTTGAATCCATTATCCTCTCCTGAACAAACTGGTTTGCACGGAAAACCTGTAAAAGACAGCCAGAGATTAAGTACTACATGCCATTTTGTATTTAATTAATTATGCCATTCAACACACGCTCCATAGATTTAATGTTGCAATCCTAGATGCATGCATTCTTTTATATGTGCACCTGATATTAGAATCTTAAGGACCCAAAAGCGGGTCATAATGTTACAAATACAAAACTTAGCCATCAAAAGCATCTATTGTGGAGTAAGAGTAAGGGTGAGGTCCAACTTGTTCGAGCAAAGCACTGATATGCCCCTCATAGGTGACATATAGCCAGTGAATAAAAATTCAGCCGCCTGGCCGCCTAGGCGGTGGGTCTGGGCGAGCATGCCTGAGATTAGCACCTAGGCAGTCTGGGTGCCCACCTAGTGCCATCTCTTAAATAATAATAAAGGAAATTCAAATCCACCCAAACAAAAATATGGCCTGGTATTGCCCTTCTCTCTCTCTCTCTCTCTCTTTCTCTCTCTCTCAGGTCCATGTGCTCTCTCTATATATGAGAAGAAGAAGAGATGATGGACTCCAAGTGTTTGATGCGCGACCTCTCTCTCTCACACACACACACACATATCCATTCACACACAAAGAAACACATGGACCCATATGCTCCCTCTTTACATGTAAGAAGAAGAAAAAGAAGAAGATTACCTCCAAGTGCTCGATGCAAGGTCCCTTTCTCTCACAAACTCTCTCTCTCTCTGTCTCCATATCCTCCAAATGCTCAAGACCTCTCTCTCAAAAATACACATCCAAAAGAAAAAAAAAATGGAAAAAAAGAAGATCTTTAAGAATTTCATGTGAGACCTCAAGCGCACATAAACGTGCGCATGCACACACACACACTCATACGGCCCCCGCCCCAACCCCTTCCCTTAGGGCCACCTTTGTGTCTAGGGCTCTGGGTGCCTGCCTAGGCGGCCACCTCCGCCTTTTTTAACATTGCACATAGCTAATAATTCCATATCTAAATGCTATTTGCAGTGGTTGCATTCTCAGAGTTTAGATCAATATGACAACACGATGTTTTTAAACTCTTTGCATATTATTTTGCTATTTACTTAGACCAAACTGTTATACTAAACACGGCACCATTTCATTTGTTTCTGTACAGAATTTGGTTCACTACATATTTGATCAAGTTCATAGATTATTACACGTGGGTCAAAGGAAGTCTAACCTAGTCTATTGCTGGACTTCTCAAATGAACCAAGCATCACTCTTGTCTTGAACATATTCTTTTACCATTTCTTTATGGATCCTTACCATTTTCTGATGCTGCATATATTCACAATGTACCTAGGAATCCTTTTCAGCTCATTTACAACATAAGGTGAGCATCTTGTCACTTCTCTCCAACATTAAACAATTCATGTTAGTTACATATCTCCCATTTATCCTTATTGTTGGTAGTGCACATCGTTTAAGATGGATCCACGCCTCCCAATCATTTTATATCAGATAGCCTTTCATAAAGCATTACTTGTTTCTTTTGATTTTTACCATGAAGTGAAATCATATTTTGAAGCAAAGGCAGAGCCAAATTTGGAAAATGATTGTGCGGATGCTGTTGGGCTTAGAAACATAATCCACAAGGAACTTTTCAGTCTAACTGTTTCAAAATGTGAACAACTCTCCATCGAGCTATAAAGGTAAACTAAAGTGATGATATTTTAGCAGGAAGGGGATACTCGTAGGACCATAAATTCAACTATCTTGAGTTTTTGCCCCCATGGTAAAGATTGCAACAGTGTAAACTTTATTCAAACAGTCAAACATACTCACTAATATCACTAAATCTTAATGGCTGTTGTGGTCTATTTTATCATTGAAAGCAATATACTTCAGTTTAGTGTAGACTTTTTAGATCTACTCATTTTTTCAACTTCATGCATGCTTATGCTGGTTCATGAATAAATACATATGTAGAAATGGAGCAGTGTCTGTTACTATCCTTGTGTCAGAATTCACCAAGTTGATCCAGAGCTCACCTTAGCCAATTTAGCCCAACATGAGAATTAAAATCATTAAGCTTTCCAAATTATGAGAAACAGAAAAAGTATTCCGGTTTCTATTTTTTCTTGGGGTTTAAGAGTGTTCTCGGCAAGTAAGAGACCCATTCAAGAGTATATACATACACACATGCATATACAACATATATACACAGAATATTTTCTATACACATGCACATAGATTAATATACATATACGAATACATAGATATGCACACATATACATAACCAAATGAAAATGCATTTGCTTCAATGTATGCTTGTTTATGCAAGAGTGTATAGGAACACATGTTTCACTATGAGTGTTTTCTACGTATATGCCCATGTACTCGTGGAAATTGTTAATCCTGTGTACTTATGGTATGCCTGTATGTGTTTATGCACATTTAACTCTATTTATGTATACAACTATACATGGAACTACAAAAGTATGTAAGTCTGTGTGTGTAACTGTGTGCATACTGATCCAAAAATAATTCTGCAACAGATGTAATATGTTGGAAAACTAACTTGTATATACATAATGCCAACTGAACACAATAGTCAAAATTCCTTCAGATCCTAGTTGCATTCATATTAGATTCCTAGCAGTTACCTTAGCTTGCTTCAACATGGCATCCACTAATGTCGTCTTTCCATGATCAACATGGGCAACAATTGCTATGTTTCGTACATCTCTTCTCGTCTTCAGTTGGCTCTTTTTTTCGACTGTCCAACAATTCAAACAAAAGGAAAAACAGAGAATCAAAAAGAAGTTGAACACTTAACAAGCAAGTGTTGCATCATTTAAGTATATGTACCAGTTAGGGTTCATAATGATTAATCATATGATGCTTCCACGTAAATATTAAACAAATCGCATATCTTCCGATGGGTGTATCAGTTCTCTTACCCATTTTTTAGGACAATTTTTAGGGTGGAATTAAATCTCACCATTAAAACAATGTAGTTCAAATTAAAGGCAAAGTATTTGGTGCGTCAGGGATTATACCATAACAGAGGCGTCCCCTGGCATCTGCACTGTCCAAATAATTGAACGGTGTAGATTGCACCTAAAGTCAAAGGGAGGGTAGCAGTGACGAAAGCCCCAGTTCCCCTGGCTAAAAAATTGCCTTTTTAACCATTTTCTTATTTCTCCCCAAATCCCCCCTCTCTCTCTTCCCAACACCCCCCCCCCCCCCCCCCCCTCCATTCCCTCCCACTCTCCCCCAAAAGAGAAGTAGAGTACATCCCAGAGATGCACAGGAGATCATGAAGCTACACCAAGGGAGAGGAGAGACTAGTGGCTCTAGCAAAGCTAAGAGAGACTGCATGGTCCATGGGAGGACCCAACTCTACTGTCCATCTAACCTAGAATTCGTTTTCCAATCCATACTAAAACTTTCTGCTTCCACTGATGGTCTCAATCTCAAGGTTCAGATTAGTGATATAACAATCTTAACAAGAACAATAATGGGGCTAACAGTGAATTTGTAGGGAGGATACTCCTTCCATCTCATCATCTGTTATGGTTTTTGGACCTCACTTTCTGGAGAGGGAGGACAAAAGCTCCTATTTCTGTCATCGCTGTTTATATTTTTGGTACATCCTTTGTTTCACCCTAAATTATTAATGTGAAAACATTTTTGTTCCCCATTAGTTCAATGGCTAATAGAAATAAGAGGATTGTGAATATTGTTATGAGGCCCGCGTTCGGGAAAGGAGAGAGAAAGTGTGTGTGTGATGAGAGGAGTTACATAGGTTCTATTCTTATTCATTCTCAAGGAATTTGAGTTTGGGAGGAGGTGGGTTTTCGGCCTGTTTTGGAATCTGGTATTTTTACTGTGCACCTTAATAACTCTGTGATTCAGCCAAATAACACACTACCATTGCTGCTTTCTCGTTCATCCATGACAACTAAAGCCCAACAAGCATACCAACCAGAGCCCAACAAGAATACCCCAGAGCCCAAGCTCAAATTTGGGGGTGGAGATGGGAGGTGGGAATGAAGAAAAAGAAAAATTACATTTCATTAAAACTAGAATTCATGGACGATTAGTTAATCACTACCCTCTTTACAGATCAGTAATCTCCCAAGAAAATAACAAAAAAAACACATAAAGCCCGTTAATACGAGGCTCCAAGACCACCATTATATCTTACCTTCCTGGAACAAATCAAAATTTAGACCTAGCCCTGTTCCTTTTACAAAATACATCCTAACCATTTCACGGCAGCTGGTTTTTTCTTGCCCTGGTACCTTTCTCACTCTAAAAACACCACCAGCCATGGTTTTCTTGCAGCTGCTTCTGACTCTAGAACACCTGCTTCTCTGTCCAGAACACCACTCGCTATGAGAGGTTTCCTTAAAACCGGGGCTTTGGGTCCCTGATTACCTTGTTTTGGAATTTGGATGTAACCTGAACCTGTGCCGTTCATGCAATAGGCGGCACATATTGCAGGGCACAAACGGTAATAAGTGCGTCCCCTGATGCACAAAAGCGTGACCCAAACTAGTGATGAACCGTTCATTTCTACAAAACCATGAGTGCAAATTCTGCAGCATTCAATTTTGTGATTCATGAATGGTTGGAAATTCAATCATAAGTACTATCTTTTGTAATTGAAATCTTCTGGATTTCAACTTTATTCCAAAACCAGAGGAAAACTCTTTAATATGAGCAAATTAGTTCTATTGGAGAGGAAGATTATGTTTATAGCTGTAACAGTGACCAGCACTGAAGTTTCCATAATGCTTTTCCTTTAATTATCATTCCAATAACAACATAAAGAATAAACAGAATATAAACTCAGAAAATTACAAAAAAAGAATATAAATTCAGAAAAAAATTAATTCAGCAAGATATTAATAACTATTAAGAAACCATAAATAAAACAACAAATTTTAAAGATTTTAAAGCTTCAAATTCACAAATTTTCCTCCAAAAATCCCACTAAAGCTATGTAATAGCAAAAAAACATTATTGGAAAAGCTAGAAGCGCTATCAAGTATCAAACCTCACCTTTCGAAGTTTCAGTAGTTGAAACTGAGCAATGGATGACTCCCCCCTTCTTCGAAACTTCACGACTCCCATATTTCACAGCAAGATTAGGGCAACAGCTCTGCCCGCAAATGGATTTAGTGAGTCGCACGTTTGAGAGCTTTTTGCTAGAGAGACAATTGGGAGTTATGAGAACTGCTCGCGGTTGGAGAGTGAAAGAAGAGGAGAGAGAGTGAAACCGAGCTGCCATTTCCATTTACTCCACTGAACAAGCAAATGGATTTGGCGCGTTCAGGTTCAATACAGTGAAGAGAGAGAGAGAGAAAGGAAGTATTGTCGTGTGCATTTATACTTCTCTCGTCGTTGGTTTCGACCACGTAATGAAATCCGCAGGTGTACAAACGAGGAGTACTCATCTCTCGCGTGAACATAAAAGGTTCTAAACGGTTACACGGGTTGTTTCCGTGCTCTCACGGGAGCAAATTGTAGAAATAGCCTTACGAAGAAATCAGGTAGTTTGTGGATTTTTCAGTTGTTTTTATCAAAATCTTGTAAAACATCTTCTATTCACATAAGAACAATTTCT